AAAAAAAAAACCTCTCTGTCTTCAGATCCTTTGGACGTTCTCCATCTACCTGGAGTCCGTGGCCATCCTTCCTCAGCTCTTCATGATCAGCAAGACCGGGGAGGCTGAGACCATCACCACCCACTACCTGTTCTGCCTGGGCCTGTACCGGGCCCTCTATCTTTTCAACTGGATCTGGCGTTACTACTTCGAGGGCTTCTTTGACATGATCGCTATCGTGGCGGGTGTGGTCCAGACCATCCTCTATTGTGACTTCTTCTACCTTTATGTTACCAAAGGTGGGTTTCCTTCACGTCCWCTGCAGAAAACATGAATTAAACTGACACTGGGACACTTAAACCTCTCCCTAAAGGCTGAATCTTTATGGTCCCTTTAATCAGCATTCACATGCCTTTTCACACTACATATTAAACACTTTGCAAGTCATGAATTGACGTCATCAGTGGGCTCTTCTTAGATTACCTTTGATGTTAGAGTTTGGTCATTTTCTTCGAAAAGCCTTGCTTCAAATTTCAACCGTAGCTAATTGGAGGTTTCTGTTGTGTAAAATTCTTGAATGAAGTAACTATTTTCCAAAGTTACAGTCTTTAAAGCCCTAATTCTTTCCCAATTGGATGGGTCGTTCCAGTTAGAATTGGAGAATTTTATCGCATATTTTTTAGGTTAACTTGAAAGAATTTGCTTGTGGGCATGAACTGTGTAACTCTGATCTTAGACTGGTTTTCACAGTGATGTTACAGATGTGGTGCTCGCTACTCGGAGCCCATTTTCTCCTCTTAARGCTAAGAAACCAGCTCATGAAGATGAGTTTTTAAAAACGCCATTAGTGTCTGTGTGATTCTGTGRGACTCCGTGAACTGATCCGGCGGAGTGTTATTGAGTGACGACGGTCTGACTTCTCACCCTGCAGTGTTGAAAGGCAAGAAGCTGAGCCTGCCGGCGTAACGACCATCAGGAGGAGACGGCGGCTCCCGGCAGCCTCGGGGAGGTGCAGAGAGGACATTGTGGATTCTCGTGACCTATAGAAACAGATGCCTGAAACAGAGAGCCAACTATCAGGGGGAAAAAAACACTAGTTATCTTGATGATTGCAGATGGAACTGGTAAAACACCAACGAAACACCAGAGCTGAACAAAGATCGTCTCAGAACAACTTATGGATTTCTGTGTTCAGCGTCTTGCCTTAAACTTCTTTTCATTGCTGTTTAAAATAGGAGTTTTCTTTTTTTTTTCTTTTTACATGTGAGGTGTATTCCCTTTTCTCCCCCTATCGATTTGTTTTATTTTTTTATATATATAATGTCACAGAAATAGATTCTGAAATCACCTGTTTGACCTAAAGAAATGCACAAAACAAAGTGTCCCATTAAAGAGTGAGATAAATCTGAGTGCTTGATGAGGATTCTGTCCACTCTCGCAGTATTTTATGGTTTTTGTCTCAGAATTTCACTAAAACATGATTTAAAGAGGCCAAGTTTTGATTTCTTAGAAACAAAAAGAAATGTTTTAACAAAGTCTTGCCAAAAATGTTTTTTAAAGAAGAACTCATGAGATTTTGAATTGAAAGAATAGTTTATACATGAATTTGCTTTAAAGTTAGCATATTTTTGGCGRAGCAGTATTTTTACAGTGCTTCTCGTTTGAAATTCAAAACTACTTTACTGGTCTCTTTTTTTATTTCTCCTGTTTTCCTTTGCTGTTTGTTAAAAACCTAAAACTGTTGCTTTATTATAAACCTCAGAGAATTTTGCTTCATATGTRTGGTAGAGATCAAGCTCAGGCTTAGTTTTGGCTGTTTTTGCACTCCGGTAACAAGAACATGTTTCACAAACTTCTTTTAGCCGTAATGTAAAAATCTGAGGCTGAGATGTTTTATTTTGAAAAGACAGATTGTAAATTTTTTGCATTTTTAGGTATCATCTGTATGAAGTGAGTGTTAAATGGGTGCACTGTAAAAGGCCATGAGAGCGTTTTTAATTTTAGGCATTCCTAAAAAATTATTTCAAAACAGCTGTACTTTTTTTTTTTTTTTTTTTTGCATGATATCACCTCCAATAAAGATTTTATGATAATCACCCTGAAGTGCTGTCTGGTTATTGAAAGGATGAAAACTCAGATCAACATGAGAATATGATCAAAGTTAAAAAATTAAGTGTTGAATTTACTAAACTAAATCATTTCAACTATTTCCACTAAGCCAGTAGAGTCAATTTGAGGCGATATACATATATTTTAAAGAAATTGACCAATTTAATCAACTTGGTTTTGTGGAGCCAGTTTGATTCAGTAAATTTAACAGTTTGTTAGAGAGCGTGGAAAAGTACTTTTATTTCTACTTTCTCAGTTTTTATGAACGGTTTTATGACGTACTTAAATAGTTTTCTCATCAGTGACATTTATTTTTACTAAAGCCTTTTTCTGTTAAGGTTTTCAAGTACTTTATAGACCTCTGTTTAAAACACAAGAGTCACATTTTTGTCTCTGTTARTTGAAACGAGGCAGCTGTTTAAAACGTTTTAAAATGTAGCAAATTGCACTAAAATTTAAACAATGAGGCAGAAGCTGGACCCACCACCAGGTTTACTTATACTGTATATTTGGGTGAAAAAAAACATTTGTATTTTACTTCACGTGAAAGTCAATACCATCTATCATTTAACTTTACCCATTCTGAAAGGCTTAAATTTTATGGAAACTGATGGTTGCAAAAAAAATAAAATAAAATAAAAGATCACAAAACAGACTTGTGTGTGAAAGTGAACTTTTCCAGTGTTTGTGTTTGGTAAAATGCTGTCCATGAGGATGGATAAACACTTCATTTTTCAGCTTTTTTATGACCTTCACAATATGCAGAATTTGTTATTTTTTTACTTTAAAACAGGAAGCCAGAGAAAAGAGTTTAGGGTCCTAGATAGTAATATCTATTATAGTTTTCTTTATAAATCTAAAATAAGACTAGATAAAAACTATATACGTGGCTCACACATTGGGTCAAGTCTTCTGCAGAATGACAGCAATATTCAAGAGAAAACCCCTAAAGGAAGAAAACAGAGAAATTAAAAGAAGATAACACAGTGACAGAAAGTGATGGGATAGATCGCTCCTCCGTTAAAGCAGAAAAGTCGAGCCTGATGGAACTTCTCCTCAAACATCACACGTGAGTAAAATAAGTCTGCCATGTAAAAAACATGTTAAAACAACAAATCTCTTCCTGTAGGTGAAATTAAAAATGTTGTCTAATAAAACAAGAAATGACTGCCATGTTATGTCCTCATCCTCTGTTCCAGTTATGTGGTTTTTAATTTAAGAAAAATACAGATATTTACGCGTTTATGCAAAAGAAAAGAAAATTCTACTTTGAATCATTTGAAAAGAAGCCAAAAAAAGCAGTTAAAAACACTTTATTTGTTAAAAAAAGAAAAGTATATCAGTCTAAAACTGAGGCAGAACATGCAGTTTATGAATATTTAAAATACAGTATTAGTAAAATTAGGTCAACGACATTTTAAGTGTAACAAAATGTAGTTTTTACAATAAACACTGAAGTGGGAGGACTTCTGACACATGTAACAGAAATACTTTTATCCAGAAAATTAAAGCGTGTAACCCATGATGAAAAAAAAAAGCTGTTCGGACAGTTCAGTCGGATGAAACAAAATCATGATCCATCATCTTCTTATAAATAAACCAAACATATTGCACAACATACAGATTATAAAACTTCAGCTCACACTGAAACACTTAAGAGTTTGATGAGATTTTGTGCTTAATAAAACTAACAGCAGATCTGATCAGATCCGACCCGGATGCTTCGGTGACGCCAGCTTAAAACTCAGATTAAGGAATTTACTGCATGTCATTTGGTGCTGAAGTTTCATCTTCACTCCGTTTCTTCTGGTTTTCAGGAGAGAAAAGAGACAAAAAAAGAGCAAAGTGAGATAATGTGTTAAAACAAAACCTGACTGCTGCCGGAGTAGTCCGCACCTTTGTTTGGTTTAGATAACGCTTCAGTAAGCTGGGGACGGTGAAAAGTAAAGTGTTAACGATGACCGAGACCAGCAGAGAGAAGAGGGCGACGCCAGAGAGCACAGACAGCAGAGTCAGCCCTCCAACCAACAACAGGAACACTGAAAGACACAAAAACAGGCATGAATTTGGAAAAAAAACCATWAAAAACAACAAAGTGAGAGTGAAGCTGGACTTGAGTTTACCCACCCTCAAAGAAAACAAATCCTACTACTGATATAACAACAGTCACGAGGGCAAACGAGAGGAAGAGGCCGACAGGCAGAGCAGCCAGGGCYCCGAACAGCAGCAGTGTGAGAGCTAAGAAGGGACGGGTTCTGAGGTACTGCCCGAGCCGGGTCTTCATCAGCTGCGCTACCTGTGAAAGAAACCAGACAACAACTCAGCTGGTTGGAACACAAGGAAACACTGGAAAACAGCAACACATCAAATACTCGTGAAAGCTTTTGGTCTACCCTGGGGTCATGCTGAAGGTGGTTCAGAAAGGTCAGCCATCTCTCCCACAGCTGCAGGCTCAGCGGGCTGCTGGGCCGCTGCATCTCAGCACACCTGGTGAAAACCCAACGCCGAGCTACCTGGAGCCAGGAGTTTAGAGGAAACATCAGGGAACAAACCACCGGCTGAAGCTGGTTTTATCAAATCAGACGCCTGTCTACACAGTTTACGCTCCTAAAATGGTAGAAAAGTCTCACCTGCATCTAACTGGACACACCTTATCCTGGGGACCAATTTTAAATAAAATAAATTTCAGCTTTACACAGATAAAATGAGGATAAGGTGGAACCTCATCCGCATCAATTTTTTTGTTTATAATTATTTACAGATAATACATGTAAACATATACAGCAGTATGACGCTAAAGACAAGAGAGCAGGACGACAGAGACAGCCGTAAGTTAGCTTCTTCTAGTAACAACCCTGGTCCTCAAGGACCCCTATCCAGCATGTTTTACTTGTTTCCCTGCTKTTCAGCAGGACTTCAGAAGATTGTTAATCACTCAGTCATTCTACCAAGTGTGTCAAATCAGGAAAATATCTAAAAATCTGCTGTTGACCAACACCTTAAGAGCTTCTCTGAGCTTGATGAGACATTTTCAAAATATAATATTGACTTAGTTTTATGTTTTTTAGTATTGCCTCTGGAAGCCATTGATTCTTTGCCATTTATTTGTAAATAATAAATCAGATTAACACGTATTAAAGCAGTGATTCTCAACCCTTGTCCTCAAGGACTCCTTTCCTGCATGTTTAGGATGTTTCTCTGATTTGACACACCTGGTTTGAATGAATAAGTGATTAACAATCTTCTGAAGACCTGCTGAAGAGCAGGGAAACAAGTAAAACATGCTGGATAGGGGTCATTGAGGACCAGGGTTGGGAACCACTCTATCTAGTTTAACTCCATGTGAAAAAAAAGTTAGTCACTACAAATAATMAACGTAAATTAATCCCATCTGTGTGACYTAACRCGGCCAGTGAACAAATCAAATGACCAGTAACTGATGTCAGATCAGTCCAGCCCAGATAGAACCACAGATAAACAAACTCAGTTCCAGTGCTCATTTGTACGTTTACCTCTCTCAGGTCATGTTTATAGTTTGTTTTTTGAGTAAATCTTTAGATTAAAATGTTACCCTGTGTTTAAATGTTAGTTTTACATTTCTCTGTTCAGGGTGGGTCAAGTGTTTTACTTTTTTTTCCTTTCCCTTTCTTTTCAACTAGCAACCTTTCTGTTTTGTTATATTTTATAAATGTGTCCAAGTTTAATAATGTGTGAGAAATACACAATTTGTTTATTCAGTGTTTAATACAGCTAGCACAGTAAATTTTATAAAATATAATCCTGTACTTTTTTAATTTAGTGTTTAAAAAATATCCCTTCATGTCATAGAAAGACCCTTGATTCAAGAGAAATGTCAGCTTTATAGGAAAATGGCTGCATATCAATTAATCGTTAGTTGATCGAAAAGATCAACTTTAGATTAATCCATTAATCAATAACTTGCATCCYTACTGAGAACATTATTTGTCTGACCTTTAGCTCTAACAATAATCTCAGTTTTAAACAATTTCAGATTATAATTTTATTTGCTTTAAACAATAATATGAATCAAAAGTTTATGGACCAATTCCCATGAAAACACATTTTTATAAAGTTTTATGTCACACCGTTGCAAAGTAATCATAATGTAAATAAGTATAATTAATAGCTTATAAAAGTAATTGGTTGGTAAACAGCAAAAACTTAAATTAAGCAACTACATCTTTGCATTGCTCTATAAGTAATCCAACTAATGCAATCAAAATCAATATTCACAGCTAGATAGATTAGATGTCAATTAAAAAAATGTTAGAAAAATAAACATTTTAACCTTAACCTAATGAAATCACCTGAGGGTAAATGAATGAGCAGCGGTGCTTCCCAAACAGAAACACGCCTGTGCTGAACAGGTACGTGTCCTTACCCACGTTCAGTAAACACACTCCTGCTGCTTCATTTACAACCAGATGTATCCACGTTCACTTTTTAAATCTGAGAATAAAACAGCAAGAAACACGAACTTCAGGAGATCTCCGAGATACATACCTGAAAGAAAAAAAAACAGTCAAACTTCGCCAAACTGTCAGCAGCAAACATAAGAAACCAAACGCAGAAGTCGCCTGAAACATACTCCACACTGAGATGAACACACCCTTCTTGAGARTGAAAACACACCTCTTTGTTTCTTCCTTCTTTTTGAGAGTCGAGACTCTGGTTTTAAACTTCACTCCTGCCAGCTGGTGGTCATTTTAGGTACTTCAGCAGAGAAATTAATTTTTAAGAGTCGAGATTTGGTTGTAAACTTTACTGCTTCCATCTGGTGGTCGTTACAGGTACTGCATCAAATAAATGAAATGGATGAGGGACTTATTTTCAAAATAAAAGACAGTTTAGTGAGGGGATTTCTCTTGAACTGGTCATGGTCTTAAAAGCATATATTTATGATAAAATATAAATAATGAAAATAAAATGAATGACAAATCAAGGCTACATTAGTACTTAGAGCACTTTAGTCATCCAACCAGTTTCTCTGAGATGTTCCTGAATCTAGGCTGAATGAATGGAATGGTTTAATTTTTTTGTATTCGAACTGCTGAGACCATCAAGACTTTTAAATCTATGAGTAAGACCCATCTTCCCTCCATGGCTTTTGACTCTGGCAGAATTTGAGATTCTTTTGGAGCTTATGCTTCTATGTTTTATGTCTGTATTTTATATTAATTAAACTTATTTTTTAACATTTCTGTGTTTCTTTGCTTTCTGGTGTTTTGATCTTACACTGTGTGACCTAATTTACCTGTGTCACATAATATATTAATATCAAAACAGTTCATCTGATTTCATTCAAATGCATTATGTTTTTGTCCTCCTCTGGCAAATCTCATTAAAGCGCCACTGTCAGTAATACTGATGGACATCATGACCTGTCCTCTCTCCATCTGCCTAATTGGGCCAAAAAAAGCACCAATCGTTCTTCATGGAGATAATGAAAAGTAATGTAACGGTTTGTTTTTGCATTTCAGAATCACTAAAGAGTTATATATTAATGTATTTTGTTTTGAGTCAGCAGCATGTGAGCCAAATGAAACACGGCGAGTGATTTCATTTTGATCTATAAAATGTTGCTGTGGCAGATTTTTTTTAATTTATTTTTTTTGCTTTTCATGAGGAAAATCCCCACAATAACAATTCTCCAGAGATCCAGCAGTGGGGATCTTCTTGCACGTCCACAGCCTTTCCACAGAAATGATGACCACAATTTCAAGCTTTCTGTTGTATAACAGCTTTTAGATGGCAGCAGTGACGTCTCTCTGCGAGGACAGTGACTGATCAGAATATTAAGGGACTGAGCTCCACCACAACATCCCATTACTACTTCAATCAACTGGTATTGCTGCTATCAGCCATGAATTAGGCACAGTCCCTTGGGTTTTATTGCATTAAATGTGTGRCGCCGCATAACTGCAAGGTATAAGGAAAGAAAAATAATAGTCTGATCAGTTTTGAATTACACTAAGGAGAGAAACACTCCAGGGACCAGCCATGACAACTCATTTGGACCCCTTGTAGCTGCCGGCCGCTAATTAATCACACTCTTTTGTATTGAGTACAGGGAAAGGTTTTGGTCAGAGAGGAGAAATAAATAAATAAAAATAAATAAATAAATAAAAAAGGAGTGAGTCTGCATCCACCCCAGCAGACTGCTAAACATTGTGAACCCAGTGAACCACGGCTGTGGGAATTACAGAGCAGTGAGATGTGCAGAAGTGTACACGCAGTTTCCCAATAATGACTTTCTACATTCTGGCTGCCGTCCCTTTGGGTTCAAGACTTTTCATTTTCACCTGACAAACCACATAAAGCGAAAACTACAACTCCTCTTAAAGATTTCTGCTCACAGAGTCAAACCTGCTAACGTTTCATTAATAAGTAACCAAACAACATATTTAGGGTTACTTTGGCTTTAGCTCTAAAAATGCCTTATAACACATTCAAATCAACAGTTTTCTACATTATTTGGTTCCTAATCTCCACATTGTATTAAATAGAAAATAAGCCAAACTAAAAGTATTAATCTGTAGGTTCAAGTACTAGTTTAGAAGTGGTATAAACAAAATAATATCTTACGTGTTATAAATTGCTATTTGAACAACTATAGATTAAATAAAAATATTTTTTATGAATTTGTTACATTTGTCATCATTTCAAGTCAAACATGCCACACAGAAAAATTACATAATGACAACAAAATACCATTTAACATAAAAACAAAGTGAACATTTTAACATGTTCAATATGTTATCTTAAAATGAGTGTCAGGAGCATATTGACTGGATGATTTGAGAATGTGCAGTTTTGCTCAACAGATTGCAGCCAAAATGTGATGGATGGGCTGTCAGCAAATTTCAATTTGCATCCAGTGATTGTAAAACGTAATTACTGCYAGAGGAGAAGTGATGAAGAGCTGGAAATTCCCTGGTGGCGCTGGGTTAACTGGCGTATGTCCACCTCTTGTGTGGTTTCCTGATAGATATTGTGAGCGACGCTCCTGACATCTGTCCGTCACTGACACTCTGCAGCCGAGTCCTCCTGCGTTTTAAGAGAAAATGAGGGCAACCTGGTGCTTTTTGTCTCCCTTTAGCTTGTCACACTTGATGGCTTCAGCTCTTCATCACGCTATCAGTCCACCCCCCCCTCCCGCACCACCATCACTCCATCCTCTCTCAACAACCTTCACTTTGTTCCCCCTCCTTTGAAGTTGCAGAAGAGGGCTCAGCCAGCAGCTGGCCACAGGAGAACAGAATCTCATTTGGAGCCTGCCCTGTGTCAAAAAGGATAGCCTTCATTGTCAGTGCTTGTCTTTTTCTTAGATGAGGGAGGTCATTTTTAGGTTCCTGTCCTCTGACTGGGAGCACTGAGAGGCTCAAAGCGCCAGAGAGGATGGAGCAACATCAGCACTCGCACCACTCTACAGGAAAACATGTGGTGTAGATTAAACCAGGGGTTCCCAACTACTGGGAACCCCTGTCACAGGGCTGCAAAAACTTATCTTAAAAATAAAAATAAAAACTTATCTATATATATCTACTGTATATATCTATATGAATATTTCCAAAAATATTTTTCTTTAGGATTATTCAGTTTAAAAAACTGGCTACTTCTGTTCGTGCTTATTTTTCGTGCTTGCCTCAGTAAGTCAGCATTCACAGTTTTCCTGTCTTATCTTTTCTTCCAAACATTTTTGGGGATATTTTAATTCTTTCAGTACTTTCAGTCATTTTAGTCATTCACGTATCAAAACAGTCTGCTCTTTCTGGAAATTGCTAATTTTGACTATTGTTTTTGCTTTTAGCCACGTTTAGCTTATTTTAGCTTTTACTCATTTTGACTAATTTTAGCTTTTGGCTGGTGAATAGCTAATTTCAGTTTGTTGGGACCACGTTAACTTTAATCCTTCAAAGCTCATTTAGACTGTATTTTTTCAGAAAAGGGAAATTTTTAGTTTTTTATGTGCAACAATTAGATAACCTTTCTAAAAATAAGTAAAATGACATTTTTTTTACTCAAGAACTTATTTTTCCCCACTGGTCTGTAGGAAAGCTGTCTTTTATAAAACCGGATGCTGAATTAAACAGTTAAACAGGTTTGTCTGATGAAAGGAAAAACAATTAGGAGGGAAAATCTTCTTCTCAATATGAGCTAATTTAAGGAATTTATTCCCCTCAGTGGAGGTAAAGAGAGGAGCAAACAGCATAAGAAAAACCACTTAGAAAATCCACAAGTGACACTCTAAATCTGGTTTTCGTATCAGCGTGAATCCCCTTATTTTCCATYTTTAATGTACGAGTGGGTTTTCAGCTGCAGGAACTCTGGAGGTGGACCCAGGCAGCTTTTTGAGGGAGCTCATCTCACACAGTAAGAGATGCATTTGTTAATTTTAATTGTACAAAAAAAAAAAAAATCAACCTAGAAAATCAAAAGAAAAAACGCTCAGAAAAGAGGATTTCATTCCCTGTGGAAATTATGCCCAAAGATATAAGTGGTATCAATCTTTTCCTGTCCCTTTTTTAAATTAAATGTTCCACATTACTTATGTTGTAGCAGCCAGGGCTCCCTGTTTGCTTCCACTTTGCATCTCTTTCCGAGAAACCTCAACTGCAGGCTTTTGGTTCAATCATCTTCTTTATCAAGGACGTTAATTGAATATGCAATATTTAATAAGCGCGTCCCCCACCCCCTCCACATTTAATTAGAAAGAGTCAACACAGTCGATGCAGTCTATCACGAAGCAAACCTTCATAGCTTTTACAAAATCTATTGAGCAACAAAGCAGGGAGGAAGTGGTGGATGCGGGTCACTGAGTTTACGTTGTGCATCAGGAGGAAAAATAAAGCCGATCAGTAAAACGATGTTGCCCTGTGTTGCTTCATCACATATGCAGCGCCTCTCTGAGCGCCGGTGTTGTGATGTATAGCTGCTGRGGCCGTGAGTTCTTTTATGTTGATTCACGGCTTGAATTACGATCAAAGAAGGAGTTGACTGCAAACTGCTGCGGGGCAGGCTGTCGCTTCAGAGAAAAAGGAAACAAAGAGGAGAGGTCATTTTTAAATAAAGGGGATGATTATTATTTGCTGCAGTTTTGTGTCTGATCTAAACTGATCGGCAACAAGAGGATCTCCTCTCTCTCTCTCTCACTGAACCTGCAGTCAACCCTTTCTACTTCCCATCACTTCCTAATGGTCCCTGAGGGAAGCGGGGTCGTACATCACAGCTTTAATGTCAGCTGCCTGACTCGCTCGATAAACTTTACTAGATTGTTTAGAACCAATATGAAAAGGATTCCTGGAAAGCAGAAGAAAACCGATTGTCATTATTAAGATACAGTGATACTGTTTTTGCTACAACTCAACARGGTAGCAGCTGACAGTCATTACAAACTCTAAATACCAGAGGTGGGCAGTAACAAAATAAATTTACTTGAGTWCTGTGTGTAAGTACAGTTTTTGTAAATTTGTTCTTTACTTGAGTAGCATTGTTACTGAAAACTTTTTACCTTCACTCCACTACATTTTAACAAYGAAATCATACGTTTTATGCACTACATTTCTCTAAAGGCTTTAGTTTGTTAKTTTTTTTGGCACGTTTGTGCAGTTTGCATCTGTTTCATTCCACCGACACAGTAAAAATGTTTTATAGGTATACTAGATATAGATATAGTGTACCTATGAA